CACACACACACACACACACACACACACACACACACACACACACACACACACACACACACTATGAACACGTCGTATAAAATCGATAGCGCCGATCCTAGCTAGCTACTCCAATGCACGCGTCCCCAATGCACTATATTCGAGGTTTTCACACGATTATTGATTTCAGAGCTCACGAAGCAATAGCCTAAAATCGATCTACCACCACGCAGTCAGACCCGTTACTATATATATATATATATATATAACATATTAGATAATACTAATATAATATAAATATATATGTAGCCCATATGGCCGATTACGGCTCATTTGCTTCACATGTTCTCCGTTAATGTCGTACTAAACGTTTACACGCATTTAGTGGCGGTGCGGTTATTTTATAAGCTATACTACTGCTGTCGTTATGCGTATATGGGAGAGGCGTTACACGCTGACTTCCCGCCGTCTATCGGATGAACATTATATTGGCTGTCTGTTGCTCGGCTGGAACCTCTTACATAGAGAGTCCATACAGAGAAAGCCCATGCATAGAGAGCCCATACAGAGAGAGCCCATATAGAGAGAGCACATATAGAGAGAGCCAATACATATAGAGAGCCTATGCAGAGAGCCGCAGCAGCACGCTAGTATAAGTATAATCTCCATGACGGTTGCTTCTGGCACCGCGTGATGCTGCGCCAGGCAATGCGTTTACCTGGATGGCTTTATGCATTTATAGCTTTGATCTTCGTAAAGAGCGTTGAAATCCCTTGCGGATACTTTCATGCGGTGCGATACAAGATCGCAGGAAACCTTGATATATACTTCGCCAAACTAAATACCATCAATCGTATTTTCCTTTAGTCCCTAATCTTTTTTAACAAACAATCTTCATTCCATTAGCGCACCTAGCACTAACTTAAAGTGATTACGCGATTACGCAAGAGAATTGTGAAAACATCTTAATTTTGGGTTCATGATTGAAATTCACAAGTATGCTCTACTGTAACACACCAATGCCGCTAAAGTCAATAGACGACGTTAGTAAGAGTGTGTGAGTAAGAATGTGTAGTAAGAGTGCCCTGTGTATGTAAAAAGTTTTTTTTATTCAGTAAAAATAATTTCTTGAAATTTATGACAGCTGCTCTTCTCTAATCTCTCTCTTGCTCTAATCAGGATTGACAAACATTTGAATTCGGGTTCTTACAAGAACGACCGCATGCGTGCGTACGTGATATAAACGCAAGACCATCTCTTCAGAATAGACGACGCGAACAACAACAACAACAACACCTGCGTCATATAATTCCATTTCCGAGCCAATTATACAAATTTGCAACATCCGATAATATCCGATGTAAATCGACCTATCTGTAAAACCCTACACGCTGTGGTCGGGTACGGCCATAGAAATAATATAGGTAGACATGGTTCGCTAGAGGCGCTAGTGTCGCTCGCTGGGGTCAATTTTATTGGGCTATCAGCATTCTTGTATCTCTATCTATGGGTACGGTATCTATGTTAGATGCCAGGTGAGCATTATTATCCTGTTAAGCCACGAAATTTCTAAGCAAGACTATCCTAGAACTTTGCCAACGACAGCGTCCATGCATCAGGCGGATAACAGTGCATGCGCTCTCACGGCGGGAGCCTCTACATGTATCTACCATATCAAGAGTAGATAATAGGAAATCTCCTATTATCTACTCTTGACCATATCTATCTCGCGCGCACTCTCTTCTTCATTCTGTTCCCATAATATACATGTACACATACGCCCACACGCGCGCACACACGCGCCTATATGAAGAGCTATACCTTATCCAGAGCTAATTATTTATTATGAGCTCTTGATATTATTATATTATAGGCATTATTAGCTATATATATATATTCATTGCTAACTTAGTGTAGCAATTTCTTAAACAAACCTTTTTTTACAAAATTTGTTTTTGTTTTTTATAAACATTTATAATGGCAACAACAAACCAAGCTAAATCCCCGTGGGGTAGCACAGTCGAGCTGTGCCCCGTAGAGGCTGTCCAGGCCTCTGCTTCATACATGTCCCTATATATATATATAT